GGAGGTATACATCCATACTGGTACCTGTTATCCTTTCGTTTTAAGCAGTCTTATGTCTGAAATACAGTATAATTCATTGGCGATTGAAATCACATATCTATCAATGTCTGTAATTTCTCTAACTACTTCTGCAGGAGTTTTTATGTATCTGTTGTATTCTCTGAGATCTCCGTCATCCCTTACCGATTTTCGCAGTATGTGCTGCTTGTTTGAAATTGCCTTATCCGATGCCATACGCTGGTTCCCGTTTATGGTCACGTGTATCTTGCACTTAAAGAACAATCCAGTGTCTGATTACGCTGCGCAGTGGGTGCAGTTAGTTATACTTAACATGCGGCCCATCGTATGTGCATTTATTCATATTTGTTTATGGCCTTTGTGGAAGAAAGTTGAGCGTTTCTTTGTTATGGCAGGGGTTGGGTCCACTAGTCAACCGGCATTGGAGTGGCAAATGGTAGAGACAAGAGATGAACATGAAGATGAACAGGAAGATGAACAGGAAGAAACGCAATTATAGAATAAATATAAACAATTGATGTACATAAAAAAGGATGTGTATTTTCTGAAATATTTCGTTTAAATTGTAGAATATCCCTTTTATTTCCGATTTGACGTGTTTTAACTTTAAAGCCTCATTCAGCTTTTTACATGTAGTTTTGTAAATGTAGGACTAGAGGCTGTGTAAGCTGGTCTGAATGTAAGACTGCATTGTTGCAATTGAAAAAAAAAATTTGTGACTTATCTGAATACTTTGGTTGACGCTTCTTTCAATTAACTGAAATGTGAAAAAAACCCGGCGAAGCTGTGGGTTTGACGAAAAGAAGACGTTAAAAAAATAACAAATTTATTTTTAAAAATAGTCATGATTCGAATATAGATACTATATGCATGTACGTAATCCGTAAAATTGCTCTCTGTAAAAATGAATGTTAATACGTAGTTGGAATTATCTGTTGTTTGAAAGAACAATTTCATTGGTACATATTATATATATATATATGTTTAATATAACAGTTTTATTGATGAACATTTTATAATTTATATAATTGTCTTTTAGAACCTTTTACATTAAAATGTAACACAAATTTTCCTGGTAATTTCCGTTACTGATATTTTATGATAACTAGTCTCATTTCTTTTGATTTGTTGTATTATCTGAATGTATAATTATATAATTATAATCAGATTTTTGTAAGATGCATTTTTAAGATATTCTTTTAATGAGAATTTTTTAAGATATTCACGATGTTTCAATCATTAGCGCTATATTCATTTACCAATAACCCGTCAGTGTGCATTAATTATGTGTATAAAAAGTATCTTCATCAATTTATGGTTTTACTTACTTTTCTATTTTTACTCCCGCTTACGCTGTGACGCGCGTTTGTTCGAGGAATGCAATCACCCCTAAAAGTGTATTTTTCAAACGGTGCAATTATGAAACAAGCATGCATACTGTCACATGAGATATTACAAGCTATATGCTGCTTACACCTTATGTTCGACCTGCAGTCCACACCCTCTACACGACTTGCATGTCGTGGTCTGAGGGGGATAAAGAGACTCCTTTTTACACTTGAACTTGGGGATGCGTGGCTTAGTTAATCACCACAAAAAAAGAGACAAATTGTCACCACAAATAAGAGACAAAATGAGACAAATTGACCAGTCTGCCCAGCTTCGCAATTAGCAAATCATCACTATCACATTGTGTACTAGGCAAGAGCGGTGTTGCGTCTGATACTTTAAAGAGCGTACTTATACAAGCCTTGAATACGTGTGATCTACCGGTGAATTCGGGGGCGATTTACACATCGAGCTGTATCTAATCCAGAATTTTCGCGAAAAAAACAAATTTACCACTAGAAATAGTAAATGTTCTCCATGACCCGTCACTCATTGGAATCGCCATCTTAAGAAATCGTAACAATGCGACTGTAAAATTATCCTTGGGGATTGATGCCCGGTGCCCAGACTATCCATCGCAATAAAGTAAAGTACTGAAGCCGGCTTTCTCATTGAGAAGAAAGAAAATTTATTTAAATCATGATTATACCAGTGCTTCTGTGGCCCCTCTGACCTTGGCAAAGCCAGTTAATAGGAAAAGGGTTCGAGTTCTGGTAAACTGCATCTGATTATTTGTGCTTTTTGTAGTTTCTGAGTCTCGTTTGTTTTATAAAAGAGAAAGCTCGCACGATTGGAGGGAGTTGGGTAGGTGTCAAAGTGCAGTCATTAGTATGCACGGTTGCAAAATTGAAGAGCAACCACGGTTCAAAATGACAATGACAAACCAGGAGTTCACTGAATTTTCATCATGCACAACAAATAACATGGTCAATAAAAGTACATTTTCAGGACCATGAGAGTTCAAATTCACATAATAAAAAAATCAAAAAGGAAACATAACAAAAAATATTCCAGTAAAGCTGCTTTTCATACTTTTAATCTAGCTGTATAAACATGATATGAATAACCCACTGAGTTTAAGGATAATAAGGCACATTACACAAAATATGTTTTTGTTTTTAACTTATTTTCAAAATTACACAACATTTACCTGTATAATTATCTCTGATTCCTAATCATGCGACACTGTTAATTTTAGACTTTCACAAACTGTAGCTAGCAAATAGCTAAACCTATAAGAGTTTACAGGGAAACCTCAACGTGTGTTTTATGTGATCTCATTTAATGGCCTCTTGAAAGTTAATTGGACAAGTGACTTAATGGCTCTGAACTTAGCTAGTGATTACCTAAGAGACAATTACAGACTGACCAGTGACTATCTATATAACACCACGGACTATGTGAAAAAATGAAAATTTCATAAAGGATTGCATTGCTTCCAAAACAGATAGCAATCACGCTGATTTTCTAACACAAGCTGCACTGCACCCCCATAAATATTTTCAGTAAATTTGAGAGTCATAAGTAACTTGGTTTTCCCTTAATGGTCATCCTGGCAGCAGTGTCCAAAATAGGGGTTTCTTCAACGTTTATGTGATATTACATAATGCTTAACAGGATATCTTCGGACTTGATCTGTATATTCGTCAGAATGATTACTCCTGTGAGTTGCAAGACAATAGACCTATCCGTTTTCCTTGAAATATGTTATCAGTGTTGCATATATGCTGAAAAAAGTGAAAAAAACAGCATTACTTAAAAAAGTCCTCAATAATGCTGATTTTCGAACTCAACCTGCGTATTATGAATATTCATCAGTGCTGTAAGTCTCAAGCCAAAAAGTAAAACGGTTTTCCACTTATTGTGTTCTCGGCGTTTCATAGATGCTGAAAAAACAAGCCAACAACATCAATCTTTGGAAAAAATGGTATGATCATGCTGATTTTCGAACTCGACCTGCTAATTATGAATATCCATCAGTTCTGTAAGTTTCAAGCCAAAAGGTTAAATGGTTTTCCACTTATTGTGTTATCGGTGGTGAAAGGGCACGGCGATTACGGCAACGACAGACGCATGTGATGGCTATATGTACAGGCGCATCTATGTGTGTACATAAAAATTCAGGTTGAGAACCAACAATAGCTATAAAAGTGCCCATTGGCTTTATACATTTATTGTTACATTAGGCAGAGCGCGGCAATCATACATCTTTTGGGGTATAAATGAGTGTTATAATAATAATAATAATAATAATAATAATAATAATAATTTATTAAGCCAATAAAATACAAATGTATAAAATCGGGAATCTTTTGCCCTGTAGTAGCGCCATTGAAATATAAAGAATGAAAATTAAAATTATATGTTAGAGTTAAAAATAGTTACTGCCGAAGGATAAAAGCTATTTAAAAATCGCTTACTACCCTTAAAAGCTAAGAGTCTCGAATTGCTAGGTAAAAATTTAAAAAGGGTATGGGCTGGATGGGAACTGTCTGTCATTATTGATAATGTTTTCTTTTTAGTCCTGTCTAGATATATAGCATGGACGGGAGTTAGATCTGTGCCAATTACAATCTCTGCAGTTTCGACGATCTTTTCCAACTTGTTCCTCTCCTCCACAGTTGCACGTCCATACCAAACAGTTACTGAATAAGTTAAAATACTCTCTAAAACACACCTGTAAAAGTTCGTTAGAATAAACACATTTCTGGTAAAAGCTTTCAATTTCCTTAAGAAATACATTCGTTGACGTGCCTTTTTCAATAGCTTCGTGATGTTATCGCCCCAGGTTAACCTATTATTCAGCTGAACCCCTAGTAATTTATAATTAGAAACCTGTTCGACCGCTTTACCGTTAACTTCCAAGGGATTTTTACTTGTCTGATTTCTTCTGAAGTCTATGATCATTTCTTTTGTTTTGCTCACATTTAATATCAAGTCATTGTCTGTGCACCAATTTACTAAACTTGTAACCGACTGCCTGTATGACCTCTCATCATTATGGTGTATCAAGCCGACTAAAGTTGTGTCATCGGCAAACTTCATTAAAAATGTATTTTCCTCCCTCGCCACACAGTCGTGGGTGAATAACGTATATAAACAAGGTGATAAGACGCAGCCCTGGGGTGTGCCAGTGTTTTAAACTAGTGTCTGAGAAGTTAAAACCGACTTTTACTGACTGTTTTCTATTTAAAAGAAAATCTAAAATCCAATCGCAGAGTGCTGGTGGAAAATTAAGATCAGCCAAAAGTTTAAAATACAATTTGCTTGGTACGATAGTATTAAATGCTGAGCTATAGTCAACAAATAAAATTCTAACATAGGCATTTTTACAATCTAGATGTTCAAGAACTTTGTGTAAACACATAGAAAGAGCATCGTCTACACTTCTGTTACTGCGGTAGGCAAATTGGAGTGGATCAAAGCTATTTGGCACTAAAGTTTTAATAAAAGACAAAACAAGTTTTTTGAATATCTTCATAGGCACCGGTGTCAAAGCAACAGGACGGAGATCATTTGAATTCTCTACAGTTTTACTTTTTGGCATAGGTGTGATGGTTGCTGTCTTCTATATTTCAGGCACTCTGCACATTTCAATTGACCAGTTGAATATCTGCGAACACATCTGAAAGCTGGGCTGCGCATTCCTTTAAAAGTCGTGATGTTATACTGTCAGGGCCTGGAGCTTTCCTGGTGTTTAAAGCCGAGAAATAACACTTGACTTGCCATGATTGAATAGTAAATGGCGGCACGCGCTCCCCTTGGGTTGGTGTGTGGACCTGAGTGTGGTTGGTCCTATCAAAACGAGAATAAAACTCATTCAACTTCTTAGGGAGTGTGGAGTCCTCTGTATCAACGGCACGTCTGGACCCTTTATACTGTGTGACAAGAGCGATATTGTCCCAGAGATCCTTTGCACTATTGGACTGGAATTTCTGTTCGATTTTTGAATTCATCTTTTTCTTTGCTTTTTTGATGGCAGTTTTTAGGTCCAATTTTGTTTTATGATATGCTGCAACATCTGTTTCTTTCTCACGGTACGCTTGGTCTTTAGCTTTTATAAGATTCTTTATGTTCTTGTCAACCCACAGTTTAGTGTTCGGGTATTGCTTAATAGTCCTAGAAGGAATGCAGATCTCTTCACAAAACTTGATGTATTCAGTTACCACTAGAGTGAAGTCATGGATGCTGTTGTCCGATTTAAGGGCTGCCCAATCAGTGGATTCGAAGCAATCATGCAAGCTGTCTGTGGCAGACTTTGAGAAGGATTTCACGTTTCGGGATAATGGTTTCGCACTTTTCAATGCAGTTCTGTAGACAGGTATCAGTAATACAGTGCAGTGGTCCGAATTTCCAAGGCTCGATCGCTTAATTGCTTTGTAGGCATTCTTCGTCGCACAATAACAATAGTCCAGTACGTTATTGCCCCTTGTGGGGAATGTAATGTATTGGCGGTAGTTTGATAGAGCTGATTTCAGGTTAGCCTTATTAAAATCACCTAGGATAATGGAAACTGAGTCTGGAAGGGAGTTTTCCTTTGACAAAATGACTGATGACAAAGTCCTAATAGCATGTATATTATCCGCCTTGGGGTGAATATAAACGCCTGTGATGAAAATGCATGGAAACTCCCGAGGCAAGTAGAATGCTGATCATGCTGATTTTCGAACTTGACCTGCGTATTATGAATATTCATCAGTTCTGTAAATTTGAATATAAAATGTAAAACGGTATTCCACTAATCGTGTTATCACTGAGTGCACGGCGACGACGGCGACGGTGACGACAGACGCAGGTGACGGCTATATGTACAGACACATCTGTGTCTGTACATAAAAACAGCATAAATTCCCTAAAAGTGACCCAATCATGCTGATTTTGGAACTTGACCTGCGTATTATGAATATTCATCAGTTCTGTAAGTTTCAAGCCAAAAGGTAAAATGGTTTTCCACTTATTGTGTTATCGGTGCTGCATATATGCTGAAAAAAGTGAAAAAACAGCATTAATTCCCTAAAAGTGACCCGATCATGCTGATTTTCGAACTTGACCTGCGTATTATGAATATTCATCAGTTCTGTAAGTTTCAAACCAAAAGAAAAAACAGTTTTCCACTTATCGTGTTATCGGTAAAAGTGCACGGGGACGGCGACGACAGACGCAGATGACGGCTATATGTACAGACGCATCTGTGTCTGTACATAAAAAAAAACAAATCAATCAATCAAAAAATAAATAAATAAAATGAAACAGTATTAAATCCTAGAGCAATGCATTCCACCAAACACTACAAATACATCATACCTGCTGAGGGTTCAGGCTAATAGCCTCCCTGTCCACCCTGTCCACTTGGTCATTGAGATCATAACTCATGCTGCTGTCAGCTCCTATGTTCTGCTTTGTCATACTATGACTTTCTGCTGAAAAGGGAAATGTTTGTGAGCACATCTTGCAGATTTCCAAACAATGACAATTAGCACACTATGATAGTGACTAAGGTAGTCATTGGTGCTTTCCAATATTCAGTGTACTTTCACCAAAGAATTGCTAAGAACACTTTGAAGGTACAAACAGTATCAATACTTAAATTTTTTTATTACCAATAGAACTTTGATCCTTATTGAAATTGATGTTCGACAGATCACTTCCCATTGCAGGAGCTTATATGTGCAACATCATGAATCCCAAATGAATAAGAAACTAGAGGATCAGAGGAGAAGCAGTGATGGTAACATGCCGGCGGAACGATCCTGATAGGACTAAAACCAGGTGTACCGCCAGCGCCAATGCTGGTGGTACAATAAAGTGTGATTATAATTAACAAATGTCAAATACCCCACTTTTTTCAGCATGATGATAATTGTGAAAATTATCACTCTAAGCTACTCTCAAAATTGTGCTGACAGGATCCCTATCAACTTTTTAGAAATTAAATTTCAAGGAGCTACTGAAATATTTGCGGATAAGAACAGATAACATTGATAACTTGTTTTTAGAGTACTACGTTAATTTTAAAAACATGAGTTTTTCAGTGCCCCGTTATATCATATGGAAAAGAGCACTGTGTACTGGTTTAGAAAATAAGAGAAATTTACATCCGACACCAGGAAAATATGTCTGAGATTGGACATTTTTACATCTGACCTACTTCAAAAACATCAGCAATTACCAAATGGTGGGAACAAATTTTATTTGCCCCTTAAATTGATCATGTTTCTAGATGGGCTAGTGAGAGGAATGCAAGATGAACTTTTTCTGGTATTACCTTTGGCAGGTGTTTCTTGATTGCCAGAAACCAATACAGGTGGAGTCAAACATCTGTCATCAGCAACAGCAATGGTACTTGTATCTAATAAAGTAATAAAATATAAATGAATAAAAATTGAAGTACGGTTATTAGTAATAGATTTCAAATGCCCCACTTTTTTTCACTGTGATAATAATAATTCACAATTTAACTTCATAGCCTTCTCTCAATATTTGCTACGCAACAGGGTCCCTTTTAACTTTTTTGGAAATTTTATGACTTAAATTGATCATGTTTCTAGATTGGCTAGTGAGAGGAAAGCAAGATGAACTTCTTCTGGTATTACCTATAGCTGGGTATTCTTCATTGTCAGAAACTAAGACAGGTTGAGCCAAACATCTGTCATCAGCAACAGCAGTTGGGTTTGCATCTAATAAAATAATAAAATAAATGAATTACTATAGTTTGGTTTCAAGGTACAAATTTAAAATGTCTTACTTTCTTTCACTGTGACAAAAATTCAAAATTCATCACATTTAGCTACTCTCAAAAGCGAGCTATTCAATGTGCCGATTGTTTTCAGGACTTTTCTTTTAAATTAAATTTCTAGGCATTAAAATATTTTTTAGGACAAACTAATTCATTTTCGTTCATTTATAGTCTGAGTGACTATTAAAAATAGATAAAAGTATAGTTCCTTCAATAATTATTTCCAAAAATAATTTTTTTCAATTTCTCTACCATTTTTACTGGCCAAAATATTGATAAACTTATAATCACTTGCCTCCCCCACCGATAAAAAAAAAGAAAATAAAAAAAAATAAAAATAAAAGAAAATTAAAAATAAATAAATAAATAAATAGATAAAAATAAATTTTAAGCTCTTATTTTTTGTTCCTTTATGTTGGTGAAAAAAAAAAAGGTTGAACAATGGCGACAATAACAGTTCATCACCTCTTCAGGCAGTAACATCACAATTTTAGGTGCTCTACATATTGCCTTTTATTTGTCTCAGACAAGGCTTTTTCTGTTAATCCCATAAACAGATATTTTCCCCCGTCCTGCTCACCTGTACACTGCACTCCATGTTCACTCAAACGTTTCTCAGCCTGTCCACATAACATCCAAATGTGTTCAGCAGACTTCTCCCCATTAGCAGCAAGACACAGAGTGTCCACAAGTTGTGGCGGCTACAGTGAAATTTAAAAAAAAAATATATCCCATGCAATTGATTTTACTAAATTATATTTTGTGGCACCTACAAAACTTTTCTTTTCATAACTTGTGTATAAAAATATATTGAAAAACCCTTGCCACCTGCCAAACATTAAAACATGGTTTTGAGCCACATGCAACCCAAAAGCCAAGGTTTATAAAATCTGTTACAGTTACAGTAGATAGTGACAGAATTATGGTGAGTGTTATGAAGATAACAGGTTGAGATGTCGGCGAAATATTAAACTTTTCCCAAAAAAAAGTCATGAAGTGCAAGCTTGTCACAATACACAACCCTAGTGCCTACCAAGTTTTCTTTACATTTCTTCCAGTCTGAACGTGTTAGGGGCCAAGTAGTGAAGTGACATGGCAACAGCAGCTGAAGCATGACCTTGGCACAATCTTCAATATCTTGACTTGCTTTGCTTGCTGAGAAGTTGGTAAGTTTTTTCATATTGATGAACCTCACACTATTTTCTCCACTTTTATTGATCACAATATCAGCCACTGGAAACATTTGATGGATGTAAAATAATATTTTAGTATCACACAGGTATCAATATAATAATTATTATCGTTATTATATCAAACATGCTTTATCATAAAATCTGCATTTGGAGAGGAAGAATGTTGTCATTCGCAACTTAAAAGAAGCATTCTATTCATTAACTTTGCTTTTTTGTGTAATTCTTCTGTAAATACAGTAATAGTAACTGATATGAGATACAGAATTTTAATGTACTTGTGGGTTCTTTTATACAATTCAGATATGAACATTGTAAATGACTTGAACCTCAGACAAGGATCATCTATTGTAAAAAATACAAAAAGTAACAAATCTGTTTATTTCTTAGTACTATTTCTCTAAACTAGTGTGGCAATTTTGGCAAACTTATATGCATTTACACACATTCTACAGGGCCAGGGCTGATTCCCTTTCCATGCAGGTTGGCTAGCCTCCTCCAAAATGAGGTTATAACTTGCATGAGACTTTGAACACTGCCCATGTGAGAGCGCCAAACCTCAGCACTTTCCCAGGATGAAGCTGAAAGAAAAACCAAGATGATCACTGTAGTGTTTCCCCCGGGTTTCAAGGTCTGTGAGGTGGCGGGGCAATTTGGGATCCTGGCAAAACTAGGGGGAGTTTTGAGGGGCATGCTCCTCTGTAAAAATATTTAAAATCAAGGTGCAATTTTAGTGCACTTTATGCTATTTTGAACGGATTTTTTCAACATTTTATGGAAGGGAATCTACAATGTATGCTCACATTACATTTAACTTTAATTAGCTGTACATACAACAAGAAAATGTTCAATATCAAGAATATGGGATCTAAATTAATGGCAAGAGGTGACATTTATACAGTTGATGGTCTTGTATTTAATTCCAAATTTTATTTGCCTGAAGCACTGCTGAAAATAAATCACTTACCGAGCATGGCAGGATAGAAGAAAAAGATCATGCTGGAATCTGCCATCATGAAGACACAGCTATGGACTAATTCCCCCTGATATGCGACAAATGTTTTTGCAAAGAAAAGGCGCAATTTTTTGGAAGTGACCTGAAAAAGAAAAATGCACCAGCATCAATTTTACAACATCCAGAGATGTACATCTAAGTGTAAAGCAAACATGTATTAGAATAACATCCTTTTTAAAGAATGCATTCTGTCCCTAAGTTATGCTAGTGCTCAATCTTACGCATTCTTTTTTGAGAAGTCTTGGCATATAATTAACATTCACTGAGAGACCATTAAAAGATTGTGCAGTTTTCCTTTCAAGTAGGTCCGTCATATTTAGGTCTCGGCCTTGTTAGACCTTGTCTCTTCTCGATGTGAATGCTCTCTTAGTACAAGTACCAAAGGCTCAATTCAAAATCTATTTTCTAAAAGTCTATTTTTTATTTGCGGTATCTTGTGATCATGGTCTGTGCCCTGAATACCCCGCGGCGTAATTACTGGCAGCGCGAGCCAGTTTCTTCCAAAGCTGTAATTAATTCTCGGCTGCGCTCGGAGTGATCGGAGCCAAAGACTATAGTGAAGTATCTCAGACACATCACTTCAGGTGTTTATAGAATAATGGCTCAAAAAACTTTGTTATGATGCAAAACTTGAACAATGGTGTTAAAATACTAACCCGAACTTTAATCAGCTGATGCTCAGGGCCTGCAACTAGTTGTGCCTTTACATGCCCAAAGCCAACTATTCCAATATCATGTCCCATGTCAACATTTTCAACAGGCAACATATTTCCATCAGTCCTTTGTTGCTATAAAATACAAATTTAACAATATATTAATATGGTATTGATTCTAATAAATATAAAATTATTAATTTTAAACAGTAATGCTCAATCACCATATGAAAGTATAAGACAACATTATTGTTTTAACTAAGGCCACACTTTTTTATATTTATGGATGACATCCTGCGCGCGCACCAATTTTCGTCCCTTCTCAAAAAAAAAAAAAAAAAAAAAAATCATCAGCGATCATCGCCCGGAAAATTTCAGTTACATTCTGTCCAAAGTACCCTAGGCTCTAGATTCTGGTATTGCCAGCTCGATCTTGATTTCATATATAACCCATAGTAGCAATACCAGGCTCTAGCGAACAGCAGCAACTCGGGGGCGTTCTTCTTCAAAATTCTGCCTGGGGCGCTTCCATATTTGAAAGTCACACGTAACAGCTGTGTCCGCCTGGATCCATATTTGGAAGTCATAAGTCTCGTACGTCACAGGTTTGGCAGCCTGGAGCTGCCTTTCCCACCTTGCGCTGAAGTCTCGTGTAGGCGAGACAAGAAGCAAATAAAGTGCCTGACGCGGAGTTAGAAGTTTGAATTGAAAATATCTTGCAGTCGAAGGTCAGTGCCACAATACAAGCAACATTCTGCTGTAAAAACTTATTTTCGTGTAGCCATTGTGCAGCCCTTATATCGGGCATACAGTGTAGCTGTCAAATTTGGCACATGGCAAGCACATGTATTGTGCACGTGTATATCTCAGGACTAAATGTTCTTTGATAAGCAAAAAATACAAAAACATTGGATATATCTTTTCTTTCCGAAGAATATTATTTATTTTTTCACTTTACATCTTAAATACAGCAAATAAAATTAAATAAAGCAGAATTAAATTTGTTTTACGTTTTATTTTGGTCTGATGACATTCAACTGCAGATTCACTGGAGCAGTTCTATTTGATTGACGGAAACCTAACATGGCCGCTGGTCTTCAGTGCTAGTAAAAGCGACTCCACCACAAGGTATATTTAGCAAGCTAGCTTTTACGTTGCTCTGACACTCAGGGTAGTCCAAAGCAGCACATACCAGGTTTTTATGTAGTGAAAAAAGGGTCGACAAGAATGTATTTGGTGGACTGAAGGTCGGACAGGCCACCCAATGTAGTTGGCTGCTACATGTGAGTCCAAGTAGACAAAATGGCATCGTCCGAAATTACCTTTTTTAGATTTGGTAGTAGGAAGCATAGGCCTATCTTTGCTTCATTTTTTTTAACAATTCTGTGAAATGTTCACAATGCTTTAATTTTCTGAGAGAACAAATAAAGACACGCTGTTTATTTGATATTTGTTTTATTGATTGCTATACCAACAGAATGCATGAAATAACCTTAAATAGATTTGGTAATATGCAGCATATATATTCATGACATTTTACCTTTCTACAAAGTAGGCCCTATTCACAATGCTTTAATATTTTGAGAGCATGGATAAAGGCATGTTGTTAGTTTGATACGTGTTTCTAGATCTGTGGTAAATTAGTGTTTCCAGCTGTGTACTGAAAACATAACTTTTCTTTTCTTAGGAATTTTTTTTTTTTTTTTTTGGACTGCTTTTTTTTTTTTTTCGCCCGCTCGCACCGATTTTGTGATCCCCAGAGATTGTCATCCATAAAAATAAAAAAGTGTGGCCTAAAGACAATCCATTGGGTGACTGGCACTATTTAAATAATTGTTAAGTAGCATTACTAAGTACTTACTTAATATGATTTATTTCAGAGAAGATTGGGTATACAATTTATTGACTACATATAATAACTGATATACAGGCATAGCAAATTCTTATTCAGAGAAAAGGATGGTGCAAAGATGGCTTTTTTTACACTAGACACTGAAATAACCAACAAAAAATTCTAGTAGGGCTACTCTTTAAGACAAAAAATTGACAATTTTAAATAATTTTATGAGGCGTATCTGTTTCAATATACATACTTCTAGTTCAAGGTTGACAGGAACCTGAGCATCAGGTGATTCCAGAACAGAATCGAGGATCTCTTGAAGTATCTCTATCTGTTGTCCTGCTGGTGTATGCGCCATGCTGCGCCTGGAAAAACAGTACTTAGTCAAAGGAACTGTGGAATAAGTGTTTCAACAATTTACTAAATTAATCAATGCACCACGATGCAGAATCCTTGTGCTACGAGAATTCCCGTGATTACCAGTTAGCAAGTCCAAACACTAAACGGACAATTAAAAGTCTATTTTGTCTTTGTCACCCGTCAGTTCATGTGTGAATTCAGGCAGTTCACCACAGAAATGCTCCTTGTCCACCTCCCACAGATTATTTTCCCACTGACTTCTTCTAAAATCTTCACTATACTGCCTAATTCACTTTCAGACTACAAATAGAGAAGTTATATTTAATGAGGTTGACTTCTCTTTCACTGTACAAGAAATCACTACCGCCGCCAAGAAGCTTAAAAATAACAAAACCCCAGGTATGGATGGTATCCCGAACGAACTCCTCAGAGAGGGAATAGACTACTTGGCACCAGTTTTATGTAAAGTTTTCAATGCCATATACATAAGCAGTTGTTTCCCAGATGCTTGGCGGCTTAGTACCCTAACAATGCTACACAAAAAGGGAGATAGGACAGACCCCAAAAACTATAGAGGAATTGCTATCTCAAGTAATATTTGTAAACTTTTTTGTCAAATTCTTAACAGTAGGATCAACAAATTTATTTATAAGAACTGCATTATACCTGAAAACCAAATTGGCTTTACAAAAGGCGCCCGTACCAGTGACCATCTACTAACCTTAAAGACCCTCATAGATAAATACATAAACAAGGCCTCCAAATCCAAATTTTATGTCTGTTTTGTTGACTTCTCTTCGGCATTTGACACGGTCTGGAGAAATGCCCTACTCCACAAACTCATCCTTTCCAATTTTAGTTCTAAATTTATAAATATAATCCATAGCATGAACAGCTCTACTCAATTCTCTATTATTTGCAACAATAAACTAACCAAACCCATAAACTCCACGGTAGGCGTGAAACAAGGCTGCGTATTAAGTCCCTCCCTTTTCAATCTCTTCCTAAGCGACCTACCAAATATTTTTGATGTTAATAAAGAAAACGACCCTGCCTATTTAAATAACAAACCTGTAAGTTGCCTCATGTACGCTGATGACCTGGTCCTCATCTCACAAAGTGCCCAAGGACTACAACACTCTCTAAACCTACTCCACAATTACTGCACCAAATGGAAACTTATCATCAATATAGCAAAAACCAAAATCATCATATTTAATAAGGCTGGCCATCTCCTGAAAACCAACCAATTTAAGTTAGGCACAAATCCAGTAGAAAACACCTCCGAATATTGTTACCTCGGCCTGACCTTCACTCCATCCGGCAAATTCACCAAGGCCATGGAGGATCTAAAAAATAAAGCACTCAAAGTATTTTTCAAATTAAGAAATCAGCTATTTTCAGCACCCACAAAAATTGCCTTAAAGTTATTCAAATCACTCCTACTTCCAATCCTTAGCTATGGGTGCGAAATTTGGGCCTCTTACTTACTACGTAATTTGACCATTGAAAATTTTTTTAATATATGCGAAAAGCCCCCTGCTGAACTCGTCCACCTAAAAACCTGTAAAACCATACTAGGGATTAACAAAATCTCTACTAATCATGCTGCACGTGGTGAGCTAGGCAGCTTCCCCATTCTCATCCAATTACTGTCACTGTCCATTAAATATTGGTGCCACCTGTACAAAACCATATACAATGGTCAGTCTACTTTAGTCACCGATGCTCTGATTGAGAACAGATCCTTATCCTCATCCGGTGTGTTTACATGGTCCTCTGGTATAAAAACTGTTCTTAACATGAACAACCTGGGAAAGTTATGGTCTAATCCAGTCTCAGTATCTGGTAAGATAGCTCAGGCCTTGACCAAAAAGACTCTGCACTCTGCATATCAGGACCAGTGGGCTACATTGATGAGCAGAACGGGTAGTGATAATAAACTAAGAACCTATGTTAAATTTAAGAAGGAATTTGTGTGTGAAAATTACACCCACATGGCCCCCAAAAATATCAGAGTGTAGTGTTCACAAATATAATTCCCAGACATGTAAATTAATTTGATTAGAGTCGATTGCTTGTGCACTCGACTCGTTTTATGGCCTTACCTGTAGTTATGTAACTTAAGTGGACGTGTGCAATTTGAATAATTAAAATTAGTATGTACCACCAAATACTGCAGCACAGAATCCACCTATAGATAAGAAATACATATAAAAAGATGTCTAGAATTAAGATCGGGAGGGCAGACTGAAGAATACTCGAAGGAGACCGCTCGACGGAGCTATGGGAGACGGCCTAGAGCTTGGAGACTTCACGTATAGAACATGTAGTAAGAGATCGTCAACGAATAAACCATTAAACTGGTCATTATGTGGACTTGGGTTTTCTTTGCACGACATTACGTAAATCTGACACGAACCATGGAATTTCGAATTGCGTTATCCACTGAGTAAGTTTAAAACGTAATGTCCTATTTCGAGCCCACACTTGAATTAAGCGTTCTAAATTATATAAGTTTAGGACATTCATCTCATATGTATATGTAAAGGTACATAACAAGAGCTAACTTCTGCAAATTAAGTGTAAGCGCCCACAATCTCTCTATTGAACGGGGCAGGTACTGCAAGCCAAAAATCCCTGCAGAGTTGAGATTGTGCAAACTTTGTGATTCGAATAAAGTAGAAGATGAGTTCCACCTCCTGCTAGAGTGCAAAGCGTATGACTCAATACGTGATTCCTTCAGAGGGCAGCTGTCAGAGTTCCTACCCCTAGGTGACCTCAGCAATAATAAACTGTTTAATCTTCTTATGGGTGCTCAAGACATTCTTAGAATGGTTATGTGTTTTGTAAATAGATGCTTAAAACAAAGAGAACAGGCCCTCTCATAATACATTGTACTCTCTCCAATGTACCCATTCTAATTCATCACCTACATGTATAGATTATCATCATACATTCCATATATAACTTCTTATAAATTAACTTATTGATCTTATGCTGCATGTAAACATTGAAATCATGTATATTTATTTATTTACTTGTTTGTACTGTTGTAGTTAGATGTAATTGTCTTTGATTGTACCTTATTTGTGAAGGTGTATCAATAAAGAATCCAATCTATGTCTGTAAAGTGTTATTCAAAAGAAATATAGCTCAAATTATTGCTGTCAGACTCACTGTCACTTACAAAGCCCGAAAATTCAGACCCAGAGCTCTCATCAAAATACTCCGTATTCCCTCCTCATGTAGATTTCCCTTTAAAATGTTTACATTTTGTTCTATATAGTACTCTCCTTTTTATTGGCCAAAAGAAAGACAACAACCAATCAGAAAACGAGCTATTTAAAATTTACCTATCAAAGTTTCTTTCTCATGCCGTCGTGAGGGGGGGGCGCCATGATTGGACCATATGACCGCTGTCGGGAATTAAGGGCAAGGCCACACTTTTTTATCTTTATGGATGACATCCTGTGCGCGCACCGATTTTCGTCTGTTCTCCCCCCAAAGAAGTCGGTTGTCGCAAACGTCGTTATTGAATTTGCCGGAAAATGCAATCGGCAATCCTCGGCTAATTCCGCAAGCTCCGTACTGTCCATGTTATTGTTAAGTTAGTATCAGAAGTTTGTTCTTGAAAATCAGACGTAATAATGTAAGGCAAAAAAAAAAAAAAAAAAAAAAAAAAAATATATATATATATATATTTTTTTTTATTTATTATTTTTATTTATTTATATATTTATTTATTT